TTGTACTTCATCTACTAGTGAAATTATCTCTCCTCTTCCACTAGCGATCCCTTATGATCGGATTTAGGTTGATTTACTCTTGGTATTTTTTTCATTTTAGTCTCCTTGTATAAATGCACCATGTCAGAACGGAGGCTCTTTTGTTCCGAACTACAATGACGACTCATACAGATGCCTTTGCAGAATTGGATTTGATGGGGATCATTGCCAAATTAGTAAGAGACTCCAAAATATTTTTATTAAAAGTGTTCTCCTACAGGCGTTACTCGGACAAATGGCGCAAGTGATGCTTCTTCTTTTCTTTATAAATATTAAAGACTATTATTCAAACTGATTCTAAGGAATGAAATGCACTATTGGTCATTAAAAGTACACACTTCTCATCACAAATGTTATCAAAATAGGAGTCAAAATGCCCGTCCTTCCATTAGCCACAACCCACAGACAACACTAAGCAATTTTCTCTTCCTTTTCCATTGCTAAGTTCCCTTGAACAATAAGATGCAGCCCCCCCTCCTCCCCTCAGGGGTACCTTTTATGAAATTAAATTTTTAGCCTACGAATAACTGTCTTAGAGGATACTTCGTGGTGAATTTTTGACTAAAGCTTTTGGAGTCAAACAGTGGAAAATGGTCGCAGTAACCTAGTTAATCCATAGAATCGATGGTTCGATTCTCAGAAAAGATTACGAGTTCTTATCCCTTTCAGATACTGATGACTGCTCACCAGATTCTTGTTACAACGGTGGAACTTGCGTGGATGGAATTAATGCTTACACTTGTGTATGTGCAAGTGGATTTCACTCCGTGAACAATTGTCGTAAGTGGCTTTAATCAATTTTTTGAAATACAAAATTGAACCTTCCATCGTTCAAAATCTTGCACAGGGGAGATATGAAACAGCATTAATCCTCACAAATCGTGCCTGAAGCTACGCTCGTACACAAAACGCGCCATAACTCAGGCTTGCTGTTATTTTCGATAGAACCAATTTCCTGAAGCTTGTCACAAACGCACTGAATGCATTCCCATGATCTTGGTCCAATGCGTACCTGTTTTTTGTCCACAAGCGTATGGGGGCCGCCAAACTGGTCATTTCGCAATATTCAACACAAAAAAAGCAAAACAGGGAATAGATATAAAGCACTGATAATTTTAGGGGACGACGTCAACAATATCAGTTAACGTCATGGGCTATATATTAGCGAGGATATAGGAAGATAGCTTGATCACGTTGACTCAAAATGCTAGAAGTGATGTAAATGAAAATGGTTGGCTAACTGAACTGCTTTTCCTTTTTGAGTCATGGCCTCATTGTGATTCTAGAAGTTAATGTGAACTTTACAATTCAGTGCAAGCGAGCATAGGTAACTCTCCTAATATGGAGTCCTATGAATTTTAGGCTGCCGTGTGAACTGGACGTTGTTCAATAGCCACTGCTACAAGTATTTCCAGGACCAGTTAAGAGGGTATTCTGAAGCCAAAGCCCAATGCGAAACATTTGGGGCTTCCTTGGCGACAATACATTCCAAAGAAGAAAGTGATTATCTGTGGTCACTTTTCTCCCAAAGTGGTCATAACGTCTGGGTTGGAGGAAACGACGAGGCAGTGGACGGCTCTTGGGTCTGGGAGGACGGGATGGCGTGGGGCGGGTTCACATTGTGGGATTCTGTTGAACCTAACGGAGGATCATCTGAGAATTGTCTTGAAATACAAAGCAAAAATGGCAAATGGAACGACACCCCTTGCACTCAATTACGCTATTACATTTGCAAAAATTGACATATCCATTACCATCGTAATTTCGATGCACAGTAGTAAGTGCCACGCACACATTTTACTTAACTGATTGAAAATCGTCCAGTGTTGATATTTCTTTCCAACTGTTCGCTCAAGCCAAAACACTTTGCAAAATAGCCGGGCCATACTAAATCTATTTCAACACAGTCACTAACTCTCTAGTGGTGGATAAAGTTAGAGAAAGGCCATTACAATGTTTTTTAACCGTTATATCGTGATGCTTTTGTTTGCAGTTGTGTAGTAGGGGTTGTTGTTGTTGTTGTTGTTGTTGTCGGAAGTGACTGACTGTGTAGAAAGTTATACCGTAAGAGAGAACTATAAGGGAAGATTGCTAATTTCAAGAAACGTTGGAGGAAACTGCGAGTTTGGCTTAGCTGTGAGCTAAGATATAGACTGTAATGGGCCTAATTAAGTTTATCAAGGATAAGTATTGGGCTACCTTAAGGAGTCGCTCCTTATTATGATTATTACTCGTTGTTTAATAAAGTAGTTGAATTTGTAGGATTACAGTGTTTTTCTGTCGGTTATATTATACCACGACACGTTACTTAGTTGATTGTCTCTCTCACACGTTCGTCTTTCTAGAATTTTAATTAGAGAACAAAATTAGTAACGATTAAAGGAGGGGTCACCAACTCCCCTGTCGATGAGTAGAGGTGAGATATTCACATATTTGGCTTCCCCACGAGATTTTGACAACATTTCAACAAGTATTTACAATTAGACCAAGGAAGACTCAATTAGGGAGGTTTTTTATTGCCCCCAACTCCGTTTCAACCGCTCAAGCCCCTTCAAGCTAAGGCTGAAATGCACCTTCTAGTTTTAAAAGTTCCTGTAAAGAATTGGCAAATTGATCTCAGAATTCGAATGAGCTAGTAATAGAGAAGGAACGAAGAAGTTTTTGGTGTTTCTGGGTTATGACTCATGGAAGGACGGGTCTTGCAAATTATCAAATCTGATAACTATTCCGGACTTGTAATGGTGTTACATACTTCTTATTCAAAGAATCTATTGAAAGCTGAGCGAAACGTCTTACGCTCAACTTCGGAAAAAAACTGGAGTTAATAAGAGCCCTATAATAAGAACGAGAATTCACTTTTATTCTATATGCTCACACACACATTATTTTCAATTGTGGATGACATTTTCAAGCATTCATAAGCATTATGGACATTTGTCTTATTTTTCTCTAATGACGAGTGGTCCTGGTTGGGAGGTAACGATTGGGCGGTCGAGGGTTCCTGGGTCTGGGAAAACGAGTGGAGTGGGGTGGGTTTGCATTGTGGAATTCTGGTGAATCTAACGGAGGAATTCATAAAGGTTGTATTGTAATGCGTCAGAATGACAAATGGAACGACTTGCCTTGTTCCTTCGCAGAATATTAAATTTGCAAAAAGTGACATCGTAATTTTTTTTTATGTCCAGCAGTTATTCCCATACATGACGGTCTCGATGGTGTTAACCATTAGCCGTAAAATTGCCAAAAAATTCCTCCGTTAGGCGTAAAAAAAGAAAAAAGTTCAACTGTGAAACTTTTTCTTCTGACCGCAAAGGAAGGAAGTTAACCGTTAGCAGTAATATGGCCATAATTTTAACCGTTAACCTCAAAAGCCATCACCCATTGAGACTCTCATACATTCCTCGTCACAACCGTCCAATGTTAATTGGACTCAACTAACTCAAGCTAATCACTGTCTAGTAATATCAAAGATACCAAAGTTATTTGAACTCAGTGATTCTCAACTATATAAAGCTTAATGAAGCTGAGAAAGGCGTTTCTCATCCTCAGAGGCAGATAAGAGACTTTTAATAACTCATACTTCGCGATGCTTTACCAAGCTGATTTTCTATCACGTGATAGTCTGTCTAGAGTTTGAAAGGTAAATTCTGATTGGCTTAAAAGTGTGAAGCGGGCCAAGTTTTACTCTTCCTTTTGCCTCGTTATAGACTAGGGTCTTCTTAAACAAGACCAGAAAAGGTTGATTACCAAAATGAAGTAAGGAAAAATAATAACAAGGCGTATGTACGCGCGGGTTAATCCGCACAAGTCATTGATAAATCGATTGCGATTGTCACCAGCATACGCGAACTATGAAAAATTTGCCAAATCGAGAAGTAAATGACTGAAATATTTCCATCGTTCAGTTACTGCTTCTGTTTCGATCGGAGTCGAAATCGGACTCTCAGAATATATAGTCCAAAGCGTCTTGGAAGGCCACCTTGATACTGACCTCGAATCCAGACTCGATGGACGACAACTATTCCTTCTCGAACGGTGTAAAATGAAGCTAATTCAATCGCTAAACCATCGTTGAGGTTCAGGTTTAAAACATCGCCGTGTTCCTTTGCCCTCTTGGTGAGGCCATGGGGGTGCTCTATCTGGTACATTACAAACCCTGTTGAAACAGGAAGGAGATACGGTGGTGATAATTGTAGTTGGTTTGAAACTAGATTTAGCAATTAATCGTGTGCTCTGATCTTTTGAGTACGACTGAGTACTCAAAAACGTGATGAAAAAGACTGTTGTTGCAGTGGCGGATCTAGGGGCGACCCCCCCCCCCGTTATTTTGGGTAAAAAGAATAGCAGAAGGAAGAAAGGCCGGCAGGGCAAGCGACGAAAAACCGGGCCCCCCCATAGCTCAAGGTCTGGATCCGTCACTGTGTTGGTTATAGTGACCGACATTTCGGAAATCTGAAAGGAAGTGGCATCGGAGTCAAGTTGTCTGTCACTCGAGTGTCATTAGTCTGGTTCGTGGAAACTAATCCACTAGTTATGCCGCGATGTTAATTTGCTGTAAGATCAAGAATCGTAAGTCAGGTGAGTTTTGGTTGGATTTCCGATTAATTGCCTGGCTTCACGTTCCTGAAAACATTGCCGAGACAAAAAGCTAAATTTTACCTTTAAAACTGGAGTGAGGGAGAAACGTGCGAAACGTAATTCCTCTTATATTTTTCATGCAGCCGTAATTAAGTCTGTGGAACGTTCAAGAATAATTCCTCTCAAGCCCTCCTGACTTTTCTGCCATTATAATAATTATATTTTTAGAAAGCAAGATTTGCTGCTGCTGACTGAATCTTTAGAAGAAATCCGACACGCAATAGGAAAAACAGCTGGTTACGCTTTCGTCATTACAGTACGTATATTAGCTTATATATTATGCCTGTTTGGACATTCCAAAACTGGCTAATATCTTGTAAAACAATAAAACATTTTAGCTAGTCTTGTAGAAAACGTCACCAGCTTCGTTCATCATGAGTGGTTATTTTGTGCTTCCTAACAACCGATGGAACGCAGACAAATTTATCAAGCTAATCTAGTGCGATGTGCTTTGATAGAATTAGTACAAAATTTCACTGTGTAACTTCAAGGGTTATTTGTGTTCGTTATAAATTGATCGACGAGTCTACGTTTTGTACACATGGTAAATATCACACATCATGCAATGTACTCAAGTTTGATGGTTTGTGAACTTCAGCCCAAAGCTGTACTGTTTTCTTCAGTATTTATGTATCTATATCAATTTAGTAATGGCCCAGTCCTTCCTACGCTGCATTTTGAAGACATTGTTGACTGAAATTTGCAAAATTACGAGGTGGACCCTTCCTTTGGAGTTTTACTGTTTGCTAAGTATATCCGACGCCATTAACTAATAAAAAAGCACTGCAACACAATTGAAACTGTCGTCACATAAACGCCTTTAGTCAGCTGAGGGCATACATGCCTCCATCGTGCTTTTACGCTCTCGTCATGCAATGATACCAATTGAGGTCTTCCTTTTTCTTTTTTAAATCGGACTGTAGTTATAATGTCGATTTTAGTTGATTTTTTTTCATAAAAAAGTGACTTCGTGAACGACTTGGTTTGGTCCAGAAATGTATGCAGTAACGAGAGTGACGAAAATTCATCAAAATCGGCGAATCCGCCAAGCTGATTTCGCTTTGACGAATTTGAGTAAATTCGTAAAAGTCGCTTTGCCCAGTTTGACTAAACATTCACTCAGTTTGACGAAATTTCGTCAAATCTGCCATTTTCGTCACTGCGTGCATGGGTGGACATAAGTGTGTTTTGAAAGTGTGCAGCTAATTTAAGATCAGTGCTTTAATAGCAAAAGTAATAGACTTTTGTGACATCCTTTAAACTGACATCTCTACATCAAGTGCGTGAAGTGATAATCTTGTCTCTTCTGTGATAAAAGTTGGCTTGATAAATGGTAATGAAAGTTCGGTGTCGAATCTACAATTTTATGTATTTAAGAGGTGAAACGTAATACGACTTCCGTAGCTAAATAGCTAATAAGATATAAATTGGTGCCAAGCTCTTTCAAACCTTTCAAATCTTACCTTTTTGTCTCCCAGTCACGAGTGGATTTCGAAGCAATTGAGACAAAGAAGGGGGCCAAATTCCAGTCATCAGCTTTTGCATCAAAAGGCAAAGGAGTAAAATTTCCCCGGGTTTTGAAAGACCTCCAATCAAGAATACCATCATAAATGAATAGGATTATAAATTTTTTCTTTTCTGCCAAGAACGTACGAGCTCAGGGTTCGTAGTCAAATGTTTCGAGAAGGAGCTTGAATAAAGTATAAATATGAAGCCTATATTCACACTTCACTCAAGCCGGTCCTTATTTTTTTTACGGGCGTTCATCACGACATCCTATCCGCGATAATTCATTAAGGCTGTCTGCGGTTTTTCATTGACTAAATTACCTCAACAAGGGAAATAAGTAATCCCACTGGAGTAGACAACCTCTAAAGAAGTGAGATAAATACATAAAGAAATACTAAACATAAAGCAGCCAGAACAGACCTTAGTTGGTAAAATGTTAATATTTTTTTTTTATTTGTCGTAGGCTCGAAAATAAGTTTACTTTAATATCTATCTCCTGTAAGCCCAAAGATTACAATCTCTTTCTATTCATAATCTGTCATATATAGTCCCATTCTATTCATAATCTGTCATATTATATGTTACTGGCTCACTGCAGAATCGCAGGACGTGGTGACCATGGAAATTTCAAACGCCAGGGAAGTCTTTCTCTATCACTTTCTCAGCAGCAATATTTTTATGCCGCGCCTTTTGCTGTAGCAAAAGAAATAAACAGCTCCTCGATTTAATGAATAGAAAAAGAGAAGCATGCCAAATGCAGGCTTTTTTTAAGCATGGCTATATGATTGAAAAACCCTCAACCAACGAATGAGAAGAATGTCGTGAGCCGAGCCAAACTGGCAATAGATGA